GTGGGACAGTGGGGAGCTGGTGCCCACCTGCAGATGCTTGGAGGTATAACATGCAGTGGTTGAGAGATTTGCCATCAGAGGCATCCAGGTTTTTGAGTTCCGGCTCACTCACTTACTAGCTGTGTGACCTTGGGCAAGTGACATAACTTCTCTGAGCTGTGACTTTTTTCATTTGCAAAAGTGGGTTTTATTTACTCCAATTCTACAAAGTGGGAGTAAATCTCCTCCTAAGGTTATTATGTAGATTAAATAAAACATTTATGTGAAGTATGTATGCACCATAGTTTATAACGGATGGTTAATAAACATAGGTTATTATTATTTATAATGAACATCTGTAATGTTGGATCTGTCCATCAAGTAGCTGCTCCCTGATTTCCTTTTGGGGAATTACCTTTCCTGATTAGGTGTAGTCTTGGTGCCCTCTAGTGTGCTGACTGTCCACCTTAGAAGTTGAAAGGTGGAGGCTCTGCCCACCAGACTTTCCTTTCACCACCTAGTCCAGCCAAGATGTGAGCATGTCATCTGAGTTCAGGCAATCAGAGTCTCTCTCCTGAGACCTTGAATCAAAGCAAAGGTAGCAAACACAGTGGGATAGTGCCTGAAGAAGACGGTCTTCCCTTCACTCCTGTTGGTGCCCCAAATAGTTCCTACAAAGTCTCCATTCTCTCAAAGGGCCAGAGTCCATTTCTGTTGCTTGCGACCAAAGAAATGAGACACTGTTGATTTCTGCCTCTAGGAAACGAGTGTTTCCCTTCACAACTTGCTTCACTTCTTGTCATGTCTTTACTCCAATAAGTAGGGCACTGCCACCACGGCCCTACCTAGAATGTTCCCCAAACACAGCCTAAATTTTTATGACTTCATGTACATTTTCAAGATGCCCTTTCTGGCCGGGCGCAGTGGCTCAAGCCTGTAATCCCAGCACTTTGGGAGGCTGAGACAGGCGGATCACGAGGTCAGGAGATCGAGACCAGCCTGGCTAACACGGTGAAACCCCGTCTCTACTAAAAAAACACACACACACAAAAACTAGCCGGGCCAGGTGGCAGGCGCCTGTAGTCCCAGCTGCTCGGGAGGCTGAGGCAGGAGAATGGCGTAAACCCGGGAGGCGGAGCTTGCAGTGAGCTGAGATCCGGCCACTGCACTCCAGCCTGGGCGACAGAGCGCGACTCCGTCTCAAAAAAAAAAAAGATGCCCTTTCTGTTTGGATGTCCATATCCAGCCCTCATCCTCCAACAGGCAAATGCTAACTCATTCTTCAAGCCCTGACTCAAATGTTGCTTGCTCGGGAAGGCTTCAGTGACTGCCCCTGACCCAGCAGTACAAAAACATTTCATTTCCTTCACCTTTTTCATGCTTTCATTGAAACATTTACTACACTTGCCATGTTGTATCACAGTTAGGTTATTTGCTGCCATCTACATTGTGTGCTCTTTGGGGATGGTCTTGTTCAGTTTTGTTTCTCTAGTACCTGATTCAGAGCAAGAGCATGAAGCATTTTTGTTGAATAAACGGTGAAGAAATGACATTTCTTACAAATATATGACTTGTACAATTTTATATGCAAACGTATGCAGGGCATGTCTAGGTAACCTCAGAACTGTAGGCCAATTCGGTAGACCACCCAGTTCTCCCAGTAGTGGTTAGAAACTTGTCCTTGTCTCAGCCAAATTGACGATCTGGATTCATCTGAAAGTTTAAGATCATTGTCTCAGCCTCTTCTTTGAGAGTTACATCCCAACATAATTACATAACACTAGTAACTAAGTCTTCTGTGGCCCTGACCACATCCCAAGCACCAAATCAATATTAAGTCATGTAATCCTCATAGTAATCCTATGAAGTAGATTCCGCTGTTTTTCTCATTTCAGAGATAAAGAAACTGAGGCACAGTGAGGTCGAGTTGCCTGCTCACGGTTACATGGCTGACCAGTGAAACAGCTGTTTCTCATCTCAGCTGTGCTCTTCCATAGGATACTGCCTCCTCTGAATCCCAGAGGAACGAGCAGATTCCGCACTCAGCCCAGTTTCACAGCTTGGGGGTTGGATGCCGGACAGGAGTGGCTGCATGTGGAGATCTGCCCACCTTGTAAGAAGTATTCACAATGAGTGCAGGTTTTGCTAAGCTATAGTTGGGTAGTAATGAAGACAGAGCAGGTTCCTCCCATGATACTTGATCATTCTGAGTCCCAGAAATAATCCTCGCGCAAGTAGGGGTCACATTATTTGCCTTGGCTAAACTCACCAAGCTGGGTTTTGTAGGCAGTAGAGTTCAGTGGTTAAGCTTTTAAGTCAAAGAGTACTGAATGTAAGGCCTGGCTCAGCTGCCTGCTGCTGTGTGAGATCTTGGGCTAATTATTTAACTGCTGGGTTACTCAGTTTCCTCACCTGTAAAATAGGGCATAATAAAAGTCTCCATGTCATAGAATAGTTATGAAAATTAAGTGAGATAATTACATGGAAATTACTTGGTATATCTGGCACCTATTAAGTGGTAGTATTATACAAATGTTAGTACAAAAATTTGTGCTAATTATGGGATATTTAATGACCAGTAGCATGTTGGCTCTTTCAGGGAGCAATGCAAAGCAAAAGAGTAGGGCTGAGAAGTGAATGTCCATCTACTTTGCCAAGCAAAGTGCAGTCCTTAAGAATTTACTCCACTGCCTGAAGTTGCATGGCTGGCCACCTAGTTCTCCAAAGGATTCCACTAGGTACGAGTACAAGACAGGGTTTGCAGTTTTCACACCCAGTAATTAGGGCTGATGGCTCAATAGGATTATTTTGTATAGCAAACCCAATATCCTCTTTACTATTCTTTTCTGCTTTCTGATTTCCAATTGGGAAAAAAAAAAAAAAAAAACCTTCAATGATAAATTTGGTCAAAAGGCTTATTTTATGACTAGTGCCTGTTGCCAAAGAGCTGATATTTCTCACAAATCCTGAGCTGTGAGTTGTGACAGCCAGTGCTTGGGTGAAGTTAGCACTTGCCTCATCCCCAGGGAGAAGAAGTGAGGACGTGATTTTCCCGACTGAGTCCATTACGGCACATGTGCCCTGACCCCTGGGATTTGGGGAGGGGGATTCCCAATCTGCCAGTTCATTTAAGCTTCCAATTTCACAGATTCCAGATTCAGATACAGGGAGCCTTCAAATGCGTTCTGTGGAAAACAGACTTCATTGTAAAGTTCTCTATTAGCTGCAAAACAAACAAATACATACAAATAAAGTACCTTTTAAAGTAAGAAATAGATTCTCTTAATGCGCCTATCTGTCTCAGCTTTTAATAAACCCAGTTTACATGGTTTACAAATGAGACCCATTTTCTGAGAGATCTCGGAGTTGAAAATTGGGGTAGAAGTGAGTATAAGCATAGGAAGGTATTACTGTACCCTGGGAGCCTCCAATACACTTAAAACACATTAATAAGCCCTCTCCATGGGGGATTCAATAGGATGAAAATAATCCTCATGTCATCCTCTATGTGTCCTTCATAACGGGGATATGAGAATTATGCACTAAATAACAATCTCAAAAGGCCAGTCCCACAGAATGTGGGACCCTCTTGGGACTGTGTGTAGGTGTTGTCACTCCATAGCTGGCATCAGGGTGAACTGCTGCCACGGGGATATGGAACAATTTGTAATGTAGCAATTAATGGAAATATGATGAAGTATTCACTTAGCAGGAAACCGGTAACTGCAGGGATCACCAAACAGAACAGTACCGTGGCATGCCCAATATCCCAAGGGATTCTGAAGACATTCAGATGACAACCAAACGCTAGGCATCCTGAGAAGCCCCTCTGTGCCCCTTTGTTACTTGAGGCTGAAGTTAAAAATGATACCTTCTCTTCCGCCCAGGTTTTGAGCTATACGGAAGGGAGGAGCTGTTTTATAAAAATGCAGCCTCGGAAATTTAAGGACCCACCATGCTTGCTCGCTTCACCCTGGGTGAACAGCATTTGTCAGATTCTCATTAGGAAAATGTTCCACTGGGCTTTCTCCTCAGGGTGCGAGGGAGACCTGGGCTGTTGCAGAGCTGCCTTTTGCATCGCCTGGATGATTGTAAAACTCCCTGCTCGCCACCCCCCACCAACCAAGAAAACCCATCGGCTTAAGTACCAACCCCCCACCTCAGTTCTCATATACTTTCATCTTGTTCCCAGGATCCACTAAAGTAAATAAGATGTCCACCCAGATAATGGAAACCCCACCAGCTCTCAGTTAGTGCCTTTTCATGCCAATTAAACACATTTTATACAGTCATCGTAGATGCATCAATGACTGCATTCCGAGACGCCAATAGGGCCGCGGCAGACATCAGCCTAGCAAATGAAATGTATTTCATGCGCGTTTTCTCTCTGTCTTACACTAACCACTTGGCAACGGTCTCAATTGAAAACATTGATTCTGAAAGATATATATGGGTATATAAACTGATTAACCAGCTTATTTGCTGCTGATTACTTTACTAATAAAGATCTCAGAGTGCTTAATTTAAATTAATACTTCTTTAATGAAAATCCAGCTTAGAGCATTAAAAACAATCTTGACAGATGCATTTATTGCACAAACATACATTTATCTACGCCAAGCCAATTGAACATACAATCATATTTAGTTGGAGTTATAATTGATAATGATTCTACAATTATGACTTCAGTTAGATGTGTGTTGTTCACCAGAGTTACTCTGATAGTCTCAAAAGGTTTTCTCATTTTGGAGGCTGTGACGACCCAGTGGGAAGTACATGGAAGTTTGTGAAGCAACTGCAGAATATTTGGTTACTTTTGAGATGAGGAGTAAGATATCCTTGCTTCCCCTCCCCCTCACTCCATCCTCCTCTGCCTTAAAAAGCCAAAAGGAAGGTGGCTGACTTTCCAGTGTAGTAAAAATTGGAAAGGGGACAAAAGGTGTCAAGTGTTAAGACCTAGGGATTAAACAAAATTGGGTTATTGATTAACCAGTGTGTTGGTAACCTGATGTTTGTGGCAGCCAAATACCAGAGTCTCACGTCTCTTGGAGTTTATGGGCCAATCTCTCCCAAGACGTGTGAGCTTGTTGTGCCGCCGCCAGTGGACTTGCCAGCGGCCGAGCAGCTCAGAGTGACAGCGACTCAGCGTCTGGAAGCCCCACTGGGCTGTGAAATGAACAAGGCTCTCGGTGCCCCTGATGCGGCCCGGGCGAGCCCTGGGGCTCCAGAAGCGAGCATCTCCCAGCTCCTAAAGAGCAGACATATATCCTGCCTTTAAGACAAGACTACAATTGCAAATCTGAGAATATAAATTACACTTTCATCTTT